CCAGAAGCTCTTCTCAAACATTCCCTTTCTCCCTCATTCAGAGCCCTGGAGGCACGAAGGTCTCTGGAAGGGAGGGGGAAAGGAATAATTGTTTTGGAGGCAGCAGAAGAGGAGAGGAATCAAACTAAAAGAAGTGAACAAAAGAAGGCGAAAGAGGTGAGAGAGAAACATGATCTTTGTGGGACTGCAGGTTCTTCCACTGAAATCACAGCCATCACTGCTCTGTCATTCCACATCGGAAGGTAACAACCTGGGACAGAGGAGCGAGCCATGGCTGCCCTGTAGAAGATGGAGATGCTTCATGATCCTAAAGGTTGGGGAGTGGTGAGCCCTAAGGGGAGATTTAGGGCCACAGATAGAGGGGGATAGAGGGATCAGCATGGCACAGCTTGGCCTGGCCCCTGCGCTCCTCTGTCCAGGGCTATTTGCCAAGGTGGGAGCATGTGGCTGTGCCCTAACTGTCTAAGTAACTTCTGTCCCTCTCTACCCAGTGAAAGGTGTCTGAAGTCTCTGCAGAAGCCTGGCCACAGCCTTAAAATAAAATACAGAGTAGACCTCAGATAAAGGGTCTCTCTGCTGATTAGTTGAATGACCTTGAAAAAGTCAAGTCACCTCTTGGTCTCAGTTTCCCCAAGTGCAAAGTAAAATGGGATCAATATTCAGAATCTGAGAAGCAAATGCAGGTAATTTGTAATCAGAAAGAAACTAAGCCTGTTTGAAGGCTGTTTATAGCTTCCGAGACTGACATGGGTGAGGCAAGGAGGGGACTGGGAGGAGCCACCATCCTCACCTAGACCTTTCTAGCCTCCTGTTCCTCATCTGCCCCTGATTGACACGGCTATTGCTGAAGCACATGCTGACCATGGGCACTGAGGTCTCCAGTGCCCCTCCTCCTATGGCTACCCCCAAGGGGCAAAGACAATGGAATTGTTTTAAAGATGTATGTTGGCATGGATGGGAGGAGGGGTGTGTGTGTGTGTGTCAGGTGACAGCAGGGAGGATGATGAGGGCAGGTGGTGTGGCGAGACCTTAGCAAGGGTCTAAACCTTTCTAGTCTCCTATTCCCCATCTGGAGACTGTGGCCACTAACTCCTCCTGCCTGAGGTTGTCTCGAGGGTTGCGTACGTGTGCCTAGCACACAAGGGGCAGAAAATACGTGTCTTGGTAACAAATCACATGGCAAAAATATTGGAGAAGAGCGAGAAGGTGGGAAGAGAAAAGGGGCTGGAAATAGTTCTGGCTGTGGAGACACCCCACTCCCCCATCCCCACACCCGAAGCTACAGGGTAGGGACCAGAGGTTCCAGCAGTTCTGCCCATCTGGTGGGCCCTAGGCCAGGTTTGAGCTGCTCCCTTTTCCAACAAGAAACCCACCACCCTGCCAGGGCTTTTTTCTGTAAGCCCCTAACATGCTGGGCTGGGCTGGCTGTTCCAGAGGAGGAGGGGTGAAGATGATGGACCAGGGAGAGCTGCCTGGAAAGCTAAGGTAGTCTCTCTGCACAGGTAGTGAAATGGATTCTTCCCAGTGCAGTGTGTATGGGGGGGGACCTTGATGCCTTGGAAATGTCTCAGGCCATGCCTCATCTCCAGTTCTCCTGCCAACACCTGCATCTCTCACCTCCTGGTCACATGCGGCCAGGTGAAAGTGCACTGCCAGCTCAGGCTTAGTAGCCTACCTGGCCTTGTCCTCAGAATCTTTCTTTGTCACACCCCCTTCCTGTGCCACTCTGCCTTCTCCCAACAATACCCCCAAAGCTGGAGTACTTCAGATCATCTTTCTCTTGCTCAATATACAAATGACTATATTTTCTGAGCCTCAAAGGGAGACTTTCAGCTTGATCATGGATAGAATATCCAGGTAGGTACTAACCAGGATCCATTGCCCTTGGGCCACAGCTCACAGTTACCAAAGTCTCCTGCTCTGAGTTGTGTCCTAGGATGCCCATGAGACATCTTAAAGAAAAGAAGGTGAGTTTGGTACCATGGTCATCATAGAAAAGGCCCAGCCCAAGTCCCCTTGGTTGTTGTGAGGTAGAAAGGGCCTGCAACTGTATTCCCAGGGTGATTCTGGCTGCAAACACAAAGGATGGCTGGGCAGACTTCTGAGATGTCATGCATTTCCAAGTTTTTCTGGGGTAGGGGTTCACTGTGGCTCCAGATCCTGGTGGGGGTGGTCTTAGAGCCTCACAAACCCAGAGTTTGGGATCATGAAGAGACTTGGATACAATGGATTCAGAGTCCTGCTGCTGAGGGAAGTCCTGCCACTGAAAAACCAGCCTCATCTTGATCCTCTCAGATCCTGGGCTTGGATCTTCTTCATGGAAGGACTCCCCCAGGGTCAATGATTCTCATGCCATGTTTAGGAGTACCCCAGCTTCTCCTTTGGGAAGCCTAAGAATTATGAGTCCTGTTTCTTGGTGCCTCAGACTTGGAGTTCCTGGCCCCCCACACCCTGTTCAATCCCAGAGTTCTCTGTCCAGCTGCCCACATTGACCTGGACATCCAGGCTGCAGCCCTTCACCCCTTATTCCACTTGTGTCCCACATAGCAGGGTTCCATACAGCACACAGGCTCCTGTGGGCCAGGCACCCTGCTGAGGGCAGAGTCCCTGCTGTCACATCGTATCTCACAAACTTCTTGGAGGTAGCTGTCCTAAGTCTCTGCAGTTTCCCTCACCAGCTCTGGGCCCCTCTACATTTTGGATTTCCAGCATTCAGGTCAAATTTTGGGTACCAAACCATAGGAAATTAGATCCTCAGTGGCCGTTCCAGAAACTCCCTTGGGCTAGAATGCTCTAACATCCCTGATGAGGGTTCTGTGAAGTAGGGCAAATGTGCAGGACTTAGAGTAAGAGGACTACCACGGGCAAACAATTTCATTATTTCCTAAGCCTCAGTTTCCTAATCTGCAAAATGGGGCTAATTCCAATGTAAGTTACATGAAGCTCTCCACACTGCCTGGCACACAAGACAACCCATTCCTCTCATCTCTCCTTTCCCACTGCAAGAGCCACCAGAGCTGTTTATGTGGCCTCCACTTTACAGCTATCCCTGGATCCTTCACCAACCTACCCACTGATTCTCTGGTTTCCTGTTAGTAACAACACAACCACCTGTGTGGAGTCTCTGATTGGCCTGGCATTGTGCCATCCTCAGACTTCAGTATTAAAGAACTCAAAAACTAGGCCAAGTGATGTACCAAGCACTAAACATCTATTAAGGGCAGGAGGAGGATGCCAAGTCAAGTCTCTGGAACACTAGATAGTTCCTTCCAACCCACAGTACCAAAGTAAGTTTGTAGGCTGCTTAGCTCTGAGCTCAGGAGAAAGCCCAGCCCTGAGTATCTCCTTTCCCAGCCAACCTCAAAGCCTGAGATGAAGAGTAATGGTTTATTGAGTCATGTGACAATGTGGGTTGTCTTTAAAAAAGAAAGAAGCATCAAGGAGAGAAGCCCAACATGGTAGGGAGACAATTCACTCAGAGGCCAAAGTCTGGGGGGTGGAAAGAGGGAAGTTTGACCCAAACAGAGTTTCATTTACAGTATATACAGTCAGGCCTTGCGGGCAGGAGCTGCGGGGAGCCAGAGAGGGAACCTCCACTGCTGGCTTCAGGGGGTTGCCTGGGAGTCTCTTCAGTAGCTGGTAGGCTTGAGCTGCAGGAAACACGCTTGGCTTGGCTTGGCTTGGCTTGGCAGGAGCTCTCGGGAAGGGGAAGTGGGTCCCCTGAAATTGTGCCTGGTTCTGCCTGGGGCAGATCTGCACCTCACCTCTGAGGGGCCAGGGCTCTTTGGAATGTCTGTCTCAAGTCACTTGAGGCTGGCCTGGCTGTTGGCAGCTGCCAAAGGGATGACCCACTTGTAGAAGAACCTGGGGTGGTGCTCACACATCATAGCAGTAGGCAAAGGAAGGTCAGCTGACAGCTGGGAGTTTTTGATTGACTCATCCCAGCCCTTGGCAAGGAGGACGGCCAGAACCTTGGGTTTGGAGCTAGCAGAGCTGAGGGAGGTGACTCCAGGGTGGCTGGTGGGGAGAGCTTCGGTTCCAGGCTGTGACTTGTGGGCTGGAAGGAAGCGCTTACACTCCATAACTTCTAGAGCAGTACTGACCACAGGGCCTCGGAGGTACCCACCCTGTGCACACCTTGGGCCCAGGTGAGGGCCAGTCACTATGCCCTCAATCCCCCCTCCTGAAGGGTTCCCTCTTCTCTCCTTTGCGATTCCAACTGGGGGCCTCATTTCTTCTCCAATTTTGTCTTTTTCAGAATGGGATGGTTCTCTTTCCCTGGGACTCCTGCCCCTCGTTAGGGAGTCTTGGAGGACAGTTTGACCTTTTCCAAGGTCATCCTGTCTTTCACGGTTCATTAAATTAACCACACAGGGAGTGAGCTGCGATTGCTGGACTTGTGGTTATTTTTCATGTAATAAATAAAGATTCCTTTGTGTGACTCTCTGGGGCCTGTCCCAGGCTGAGTCCTCCTGTTGCTCGGTTGTTCCCTCTGTCCCCATGGCAACTACAGATGGTCAAAGGCCGTGGCGGTGGTGGGCGGCGCGTTCGGCCTTGATGTGGAACTGTAATAATATGGGGAACCTGGACACGTTTAAAAAAATAACAACAACACTGCCGGTCAGAAGGGGAAATTGCACCACAGCCTTCCCCGCATCTGCTGACCTTTAAGACAACACAAGTTAATCATTCATCCCTCTGGCCTATCTGATCATCAAAGATTAACTCCTCTCCAGTCCTATTTCCTCCTCTGGCCTCACCTTTGAGTTTCTGGCCAGAATGAGAATAGTTGCTTCTTGTCCCTTCCCCCTAAGGCAGCTCTGACCCTCCACACCCTGGTTGTAGGGAAAGGGCAGGAGGCAGCAGGTGCATGTGGAACCCCAAAGAGCCAAACACACTGGGGGGGATATTCTGGGGGGTTTCCCCAGGCTTGCCCAAACAGTGCCAGGACAGAGAATCTTCCCCTTAAAACATCAGGGGATTAGGCTCCAAGTGGACTGAAGGGCCTTCAGAGACTCTCCGCACACTTGCAGGGTGGACAGCCTGGGAGCTCAGCAGGAAGGCTCCTGACCCCAGTGTGTCTCACAGCCCTCATCCTTTCTGGGGGGCAAGAGTGAAAGAAAGGTGGCTTGGTGTTGACCTCTTTGGGCAAGCAGAGCTCTGGTCATCCGCTTTCCCAGTTATTTCTGGAACACCAGGAGCTAAAAGGAGGAAAGGGGGTCTTGGGGACTGGATGGTCCTGCCAGACTGGGACCCTACAAAGTTGGCCACCCTTGGGCCACTGCTTCTCTCTGGCTCAGATTTGCTCTGACATCCCTATGGCCACCACTCAAGAAGGCTCTAGTGGTATCCCTCCAGTCTCCTTCTGTGGGGCTTGCTTTGTTAAAAAACTTCTCTTCCCATCCTAGGGTCTCAGGGCCAGAGAGGAGGGAAGGGCAGCCTAGAAGCTCCATGAATCTCTCTCTGGACCTCAACCCTGAAAGTTGTCTGCTTCTCACACCAAATATGGGGAATGTGGTAGAACAAAGGGTGACTGTCTAAGGATTTTGGTGCTGAATCATGATTATTTGTGAGCCACTTAGATAGTTAATGTGTGTGGGGGGAGAGGCAACGAGGTGGCATTCCTTTTTTTTCTTTTTTTTTTTTTAAGACAGAGTCTCACTATGTTGCCCTGGGTAGAGTGCTATGGCATCATAGCTCACAGCAACCTCAGACTCTTGGGCTCAAGAAATTCTCTTGCCTCAGCCTCCCAAGTAGCTGGGACTACAAGTGTCTACCACAATGCACTGCCTGTAGTTGTCACTGTTGTTTGGCAGGCCCAGGCCAGATTCGAACCCACCAGCTCCAGTGTATATGGCTGGCACCCTAGCAGCTGAGCTACAGATGCTGAACCCCAGGTGGCATTCTTAAAAAAATTAGTTTCTAGGAAGGAGGACAGCCACTTGCTGGTGTCTGCCACTGTTGCACTGTAAGCCCCCAGAGGCAGGAGGTCCTGTCTTAGGCTTTTTTCCAATCCACCCCTGACCTTGGCCTCAAGTCCTGAACTCTGAATCTTAGACAAAACAAAGATCCCATAGACATGGCCTTGGAGAGCACGAGGAAAACTGATGCCAGGAAGTCTCTGGCCTTCTGCCCTTTATCCCCAAACCACCAGGCATGCTGCCCTCCCGTTACCTTTTTGATTACAAACAACACCCACCTCCCAGGCCCTCCATGTAACCTGGGGCCCCTATGCACCCCACTCCAACCCACCCAGCAGAAGGTCTGGCAGCCCCAGGGACTTACTCAGCAAGCTGGAGTTGGGGAAGCGCCAGGCCTCCCCGTAGGAGGAGTAGGGGGTGTGGCCGTAGGCATTGCCAGAGTACTCGCTTCCTGTTGGAGGCACATAGGGGAGAGAGGCCTGTGAGGTGGACAGCACCCATGTGTTGCTGGGGTGTGGGGAGGTCTGCAGAGCTGGCAGTGGGCAAGCTCTGGGGATGGCAAGTGTGGACAGCTGGAGCCAGGATGGGGGTAGCCAGCCAGGACCGCCGCCTTGGTCTGGGATCATTTGGAGCAGTATCCTTTCCTGTAGATATGGGAGGCACTGCCTTAACACACTGCAGCCCTCCCAGGAGGCCCAGGAGATAGATGTTATGATTATCTGCATTTTCCAGATGAAGAAAATGAGGCTCTGGTATCTGCAGGAACTGGCACAGCTGGAGGGTTTGGTGAAGTTTGGAAACTGTGGTATGACTCTAGGGCCCAAGGTCTAACTGCTGCTCCTGCTGCTGCCTGGACCTTCTGCAGAGGGCCCTTTCCCAAGGTGGAGGGTGTAGCAAGGTGAGGCGGTTAGTGGTCAGAGGGAATCAGTATATATGAACTTTTGAGCCTCCCTAGGCATAAATGTGCTGAGTGTGTGTCTAGTGGGAGTGAGGGGAGGTGCTAAGGATTAAGGTGGTGGGAGGAAGGAGGGCCCTGGAGGGCCCCACCTCTTTAGGAAGTTGTGTCTGGGGAATTGCTCTGAGAAGCTTGTTGTTCCATCACAGGTCCACCACTTTAAGCAAACTCAGTGCATGAATTTATATAAAGTAAATTAGATCACCTCCTCTGTCATTCTTGACTTTTACAAAGGAATTATTTACCAAAGAAATTACTTAGGAATGAATTCCCTTACAGAATAACAACAAAGTCACAATAACCACCTTGGTATAGCATCTACCATTGGTAAAGTACTTTCTTACACATGACACCTCTTTATTCTCACAACCATCCTATGAAGTACTCACCCATACCAATTTATTAGCAGAGGAAATTGGAGGGCAGCATGATTAGGCAGTTTGCTTAAGAATCACACTATTGGTAAATGGTGGGGTAGAACTCCACCTTAGGGCTCTTGACTATAAATTCTAGATAGTCTCTTTATTCATTTATGAGACAGTTCAGTTGACAAAGGTTCCTGCCAGCCCTGAGATCCAATGAATGTTCACACAGTCTTTCAGAGGAGACTCCAGGTTTTCTGAGGGGGAGGACTGAAATTCCCTGGCTCTGGAGCCAGCCTGTCTGGAGTCAAATCCCTGCTCCCCACTTCCAGGCTGTGTAACTTTGCACAGGTCACTTAGCCTCTCTGAATCTTTTATTTATTTATTTTTTTGAGACAGTCTCACTGTGTTGCCCTACGTGATGTTCTGTGGCATCACAGCTCACAGCAACTTCAAAATCTTGGGCTTAAGCGATTCTCTTGCCTTAGCCTCGCAAGTAGCTGGGACTACAGGCATCTGCCACAATGCCTGGCTATTTTTTTGTTGCAGTTGTCATTGTTGTTTAGTTGTCCTGGGCTGGGTTTGAACCCACCAGCATGGCTGGTGCCTTACCCACTGAGCTATAAGTAGCTGAATCTTGTTTTCATCTGTAAAATGAGGCAAATTATTGTTTCTATACCATGGGGTTTGGAAAGAATTAAGCAAGATAATACACATTAAATGCTTAGCACCTTGTGTGGAGTATAAGAAGCACTCTATAAAGCAGGGGGCCTCAAACTTTTTAAACAGGGGATCAGTTCACTGTCCCTCAGACCGTTGGAGGGCCGGACTGTGGGCCCCAGGACAAGTCGGCTGCTAAGCAGGACAGGCAGTTGCGGCAAAAACACCCGGTGGGCCGGATAAATGTCCTAGGTGGGCCACATGTGGCCAGTGGGCCATAGTTTGAGGACGCCTGCTATAAAGGTTAGCTTTTATTGTTTTCTTATTAAATAGGTGCTGTCATCCAGCCAGTCTTCTAGCCAGTCTTAAGGCCTGGGTTTCTGTCAGTGGGACAGCTCTCTTGCCAGAGGAGGGTTGCACAGGAGGGATGGAAGTGAGGAGGAGGAATGTGAAGCAGAGAAAGGCTCCCAGATCATCCCCATAGGTAGGGAGCCAGTGACAGTACACAGTTAAGAACACACTAATCCCCTTAGGAGCAGGCACTAAGTCTAACACAGACAAGGCTAACAACACATGTAAAAGAAGGAAGAGTGGAAAGGAAAGAAAGCAAACAAAAGTAAAAAGAAAGAAAGAAAAACCATGAAATGATCTAATCCAACCATCTAGTTAACACATGAAGAAGCTAAAACCCAGAGAGAGAAAGATATCTGTCCACAGCCACATGCTCGATGAGAGCCTGAACTAGAATTCTGGTGCCTTGTTCCCACCAGTGCTCTCTCAGACCTCACCATACGAATTGTCCCTCTGTAGCCCAGATCTCACGGGTTCAGTGTTCCCTTGCAAGACACAGGTTCTACAATGGCTACACAGTAAGGACCCCAGATCTTTACCCCACCCTATCCAGTGCCAAACATTGCAAGCTCTAATGGGCGAGGAAGAGAGGCGGAAAACACAATGTGTTTGTCCCCTCATTTTGTCACTCATCCATGCGTTCACTCACTCACCCACTTATTTATTTATTTAACACCCACTTCCTGAGCAGCCATCTGCCTCAGCCACATGGAGGATGGAGTAGGGGATGGGGCTTGGGAGGTGGTACAGTCCTGGGTGTGGCATCTTTCCACCACAAGATCTGTCACTCTGCCTGCCCATGCCACAAGAAATGTCCCCATGCTTATGGAAGGCCACCCTGGCAGTGGGCAAGCTCTGGGGATAGCAAGGGGGGACAGCTGGAGCCAGGGCAGGGATAGCTCCCCCTTGGTCTTGCTTCATCAGCCTCTCTCTTTTAAGTCCATCACTCCCTTCAGCCTGCAGATACACTCTGCTATCTTCTACCACCATGCCCCTCACTAGCTACCAGCCTCTTTCTCTGCCCGATGCTCCCTGCTTTCCCATCTCGCTTCTTCCACTCAGGCCAATGCCAGTCCCCTCGAATCCCCACAGCCTCTAACCCAACATCCCTCTATGGTCATTTCTATGTCCACAATTTCCTCTAGCTCATCACTCCAGCTCACCACTCCGTTTGTGCCCCTGGTTTGATGATAGCCTATGTCATGAGTCACTATTTTTCCTACCCACTCTCCTTGCTTGTTCCTTCTTAGTGAAAGCTCTAAGTGATGGTGAAGAACCCCAGGCTTGGACAGTGAGCCTTCTGTGAATCTCCATCCACATTCTCTTTCTAG